CTACAATAAACTACAATTCCCAGGATTCCCTAGCAGTGAGCCAGGGCACTTAAAATGGTCTCAAACTGGATTATTTCTGCAGTGTGTTTGGGCCCTGGGAGTAAAAGTTGAATACATCACTGTTAATTTTTGCAATGGCAATAGTGTCACAGTGGCATCCTAAGTCTAACTCATGATTTTGTAACTAAAAGGATGCCAGCCTATATTTTAAGTATTAAAAATGTATCATCATTGTCATCATCAGAATGTCCACTATAAATTAAAATGACTAAAATGCCTATGCATATTTGAAAGATATTATTTCACAATTGATGGCTGCATCTCCACTGCAGAAATAATGCAGTTTTGTACCATTTTAACTGTCATGGGTCAAGGCTTTGGAAACCTGGCATTTTTAGTCTGTTGTAGCACCAGAGCCCTCTGAAAGAGAAGGCTAAATATATCACAAAACTACAAATCCCATCATTTCATAGCACTGAGCCATGGCATTTAAAGATGTATCAAACTGCATTAATTCAGCAGTTAAGGTGCAACCACTATTTAAAGATTCAGGTTGGAAGAGGGAAAGACTGAAAACATTTTCTATCAAAAACTGTTAATTAAAAAAATAAATAGGGAAAAAACACTATATTTCTCTGAAAATCATAATACCCACATCCTTGCCAGAAATCCAGCTGAAAAGTGCATTGGCATGCAGCATCTAGGGGGATATAAGGGGAACATATAATAAGAAAAACACTATCATTTTCTCAGTTATTATTGACCTGTCAGCAGTGCTGATTATCCCCTGCACATTAATTGGTCTGTTTTCTTTATATGTGAATGTACATACAGTATTTGTACTTTTTCTACCAATTTATTTTATAATAAGTAGTCAAAATAGAAAAACAAATAAAAATTACCAGACTCTACATATACCATGAACAAACTTCCTTTATTCTCTGCAATGCTAAGCACTTGGCAGATTCAAGAATAAATAATCATTTGTGGTGAGGGTATGCCTTATCAAACATATGCAGATCAGCACTAATTAATGCTAATTAAGGTTTCCTGTCTATCTAGTTGGAAAAACGTCCAAATGTTATGAAATCAGTTAGTATACCGATTACCCTAATTGTTTTATATGGGATGGATCTTAATTAAAATATGTAAATTGACCTTAATTGCTATATACTAATGTGGGTTCATGTTATCTGTCAAAAAGTGACAAGATGGTGAGTAGGGGTACTTAACTATATAATTCTATGAAATCCTTAACTTAATGTCCTTTACTCAAAATCAATTTTTATTATAAACTGGCAAAGGCACTATAGTCCCATGCAGCTTGAATTTTGTTGTTCTTTATTTTAAACATTGTTTCAATACTACAGGTATCACTGTAAAATATAATTTAAATATCTAATTTAAATCTAACTATGTAGAAGACATCTTGAACAGAGGCTGAGTTTTGCTTTCTTATGAAAAGATAAAAGTTCTGACTGACTCTACTGCTTTTATATGAAATATATTTAGGATATTTTGTATACTTCCATCATAAAACATTTTAATCTTAGAATTAATGATGACCACATGATTTAATTTGAGTGTCTAATAGTTGTTGTGTTTTCTGTTTAAGACAAAGTTCTCTAGCATAAGTACTTCCTTTACATTACAGAAATGAACAAGCTTAAATTTCCCTGGAGATTGTAACTATTGGTCTACAACCTTCCCACCCCAAGTTCCATATTGGATGCCTTCAGTTACTAAATGTCATGAATATACTGCCCTGACCAAGGCTCCCAGGCACTTCTGTGTTCAAAAACAAGTTAGAAGCAGGAATCTTCATACCTTCAATGCATTTTTCTTCTGCAATTATTATGAAATTAAAGGGTGTATCTGCACTGCAGAATTAAAGCAGTTTGATATCACTTTAACTGCCGTGACTCTGTCCTACAGAATCTAGGATCTGTAGTTGGGTGAAGCATCAAAGCTCTCTGACAGACCAGGCAGAATACATCATTGAATCACAAATCCCAATATCCTGTAGAATAGAATCATGGCAGTTAAAGTTGTATCAAACTACTTTAATTTTGCAGTGTGGATACACCCAAAGTGGGATACACATTTCTAAATCTACTTTATTTTAACATATGCATTTTGATATAATGTTTTGAACTGAGAAATATATCACTACATTTGGAGAAGCATGAAATCTGGAGGAAAGCTATAGTCTGCCAATGAATGAGTGAGAAGTTTGTTTTGGTTAATTTTGGTCAGAATTTAACAAAATCAATAAAATTTGAATATGGGAGAAAAATAAATTGATCTACAGTGGTACCTCTACTTACGAAATTAATTCGTTCCAGCAGC